CACACGCACACGTGCACACCCAGGCACACACGCACACGTGCACACCCAGGCACACACGCACGCACATGCACTCCGGCATAGCGCGTGATTTACTGGATGTTGAGTATTAGAATCAGCGGAGGTGCCCACTGGAGTCTCTCCTTCGGGGTTTCCTCTGTTTCTCCTTCCCAAGCACACCTCCAACCCCAAAGAAACAACGCACGGCTAAGTTAAATGTAAAGGAAATAATTCCTTTCCTTCATATGAAGAACACGGTCCGTTTAGATTATAACAGGACAAGGCCAAAGGTCTGGGTGGTATTGTACATATAGAAAGGATGCTATAAAACTTTATGTTTAGTTATTTAAAAACCAAAAGAAGTCAGCTACTTTAGTCTGTAGGTGTCAGCTTTTTTTTTTTTTTGCTTTTTTTTTTTTTAAAGAGACACAATGTGCATTCAGTGTTGCCAGTGAGTCATTGTTCTCAGCGGGTGTACCAGTTACAGACCTCCCTGGATGCTACAAAGAATCCAGTGCAAAGTTAGAGGCCAACCGAATGCTTAAAGTCTTTTTTGGAGCAATGAGAAAACAAATGGAGCCGAGATAAACATTTAGTAATACGTATTTTGGGGGAAAGTGGATTTCGGCACTTAGTCTGGCGGCTGTGGGCCTAGACCGGGGTCAGACACAGCTCTACCACGGACTGGCCCAGCGGCCCCGGAATGGCAGTAACCCGACCTCGGGGTTTTCGTTTTCTCTCTTACCTGTGAAACTGGAGTCAGGGTAGCGTCCACCAGGCAGGAAAGAAGGTTTTTACTGAGCTCTAAGGTGACCTCCCCTCCCTGGGTGGTGGTGTAACGTTTTATTTTTCTATGTTTCTGAGCATCCCATGCATTATATTAACTTTAGCATGCGCTGGCTTCATCCCTGACGCTGTTATGTGGCCATACGTCCTACCGGCACCTGTCGCGTCCTGGTGGGTTCTGCCCGAGCAGGACCTGAGAGCCAGCCTGGTTCTCCTCTCTCCTGGGAGGGACATGCATTATTAAAGGGCACCGTGCTTAGACTGCGAAACGTGAAAACCAAGTGGTTTCGTCTAGGTTGGGGCTCAAACCACATCTCCAAAGACGCGTGTGCGCTTCACTTGGTTCTTACTTTAAAAATTCTCGCTAACACAGTGAAATGCAAGGTCAGCCAGGCGCCCCGAGGGCAGGCGGGGGGCCGGTCCCTGTCCTGCATCCAGCGCCCTCGCCAGGCGTGCCTCCCGTAGGACGAAGCCGTGGGCTGGGACAGTCACTTGCAACAAGGACGTCTTTCAGGGCTGTGGGAACGTGAGGAGGCCGGGAGCTGGCCTGGGGCAGCAGGGAAGCCTCCCNCGTGCCCTTGGCTGAGGATTTAGAAAACCTCAAAACACACCAAAATTCTTGGAAACCGTGTTTCCTAGTATTTCCTGGGCATCGAGCTGGTGTGATAAAGGTGGCTTTGTACCTTGGTATGTGCCCAGAAATTCACCCCACAGACCACAATGGTTTAGAGCTGGTGGACGTACTTGGCCTGCTCCTGCCAAAACCAGTTACCATCAGTCGT